CCCCCCCCCCCCCCCCAAATTCCCAATACGCGTGACTCCGAAACTTGGCTTGCGGCTCGATTGATTGAAAAAAGTGTCCACGTTTCGTTTCGAGTGAGCTGCGAGGGCAGACGAGGGCTTATTAATTATTAATTAACAATTCCGAGTGCATAGATACGCGAGACGAGCATTTAACCAGCCTAACGATTGCCGAGGACCGGATGAGCGCGAGGCGCGACGACGAGAGTCGATGCAGCGGCCGCGCAAAAAAATAAAAAACAAAACAAAAAAAAAAAAGTCTCGTCGAGCCCGAGTGCGGCAGCGAGGCCACACGGCTTATCGAGTCAGGAGGCGAAGTCAGTCGCGAGCGCAGCATCGAGAGGTGCGTACGTGCGGGTTCGACGTCGCTGCTGGAGCAGCTCCTTCAACGAGAAAGATGCCAGAGACCAGCGGACGTAAGTCATGTGGCGTACCTTTGGACTTTGAACGACGCGCGCGAACTCGTGAGGTGATGGGTTGGGGGTACCGATGGGAACGGCCTTGGCGTTGTTTATTTCGTCATTTCGTTGTAATGCCAAAGCAGCCATTGGCGAGGATCGTCGATAGCTTCAACGCCGAGTCTCACATCTTCTTCATCATTTTCTTTCTCTTCCTCTTCTTCGTCTTCTTCATCATTTTCTTACTCTTCCTCTTCTTCGTCTTCTTCATCATTTTCTTCCTCTTCCTCTTCTTCGTCTTCTTCATCATTTTCTTCCTCTTCCTCTTCTTCGTCTTCTTCATCATTTTCTTCCTCTTCCTCTTCTTCGTCTTCTTCATCATTTTCTTCCTCTTCCTCTTCTTCGTCTTCTTCATCATTTTCTTCCTCTTCCTCTTCTTCGTCTTCTTCATCATTTTCTTCCTCTTCCTCTTCTTCGTCTTCTTCATCATTTTCTTCCTCTTCCTCTTCTTCGTCTTCTTCATCATTTTCTTCCTCTTCCTCTTCTTCGTCTTCTTCATCATTTTCTTCCTCTTCCTCTTCTTCGTCTTCTTCATCATTTTCTTCCTCTTCCTCTTCTTCGTCTTCTTCATCATTTTCTTCCTCTTCCTCTTCTTCGTCTTCTTCATCATTTTCTTCCTCTTCCTCTTCTTCGTCTTCTTCATCATTTTCTTCCTCTTCCTCTTCTTCGTCTTCTTCATCATTTTCTTACTCTTCTTCTTCTTGTTCTTCTTCTTCTTCTTCTTCTTCTTCTTCTTCTTCTTCTTCTTCTTCTTCTTCTTGTTCTTAAGCAATGCCGATTGCCGGTTACGCATTACGTGATATCCGGGTGTAATCTACTAAGTGCTGAGGTGGTTTTTCGCCGTTTGGTTTTCCGGTACATTGTGAGATACTCACGTACGCGATTGTATGGAACTTTATCGGCTGGAGCTTCTTCAAAAGCGCCGAATGATTATTATTAATGCGTATTAATCTGTTATTATTGTCTAGCGCCATGGCGCGATGTCAATAGAGGTCAAAGAGTTAAAAGTGTTCTTCGCGCTGCCGATAAAGTTTCACTTGCGATTATTCGCTTCTTTTGTCGGCAATGCATTCACCAATAAATAGATAAGATATCATGGACATATGTACACTGTTTCTTTTTATCAACAGACGTATAATTGTATAAAATTATTTATAGACACTTGCAAAACAATGTAATACGCAAGATATTTTACTATTAATATTTTTCAAGAAATATCGTCACAGCGCTAATTTGGCATTGGGCATTTGTTATTCCGAAATTTTTCGTTCTCGCTGATTTGTTTACATATAAAAAAAAGTATTTTCCCCTTCGATCGTTACGGTTAATTGTTGCCGTGTAAAGTCGAGCATATTTATTATTATATTTTTTTTTCTCCTATTTCCATTTAATGTGTCAGGTCAGTTTCATTAGTGATTTATATGCGGCATGCGTAAGTATCGATTACAACGGAAAATTTATTGACGCTCGTGTAATTAGATAAATTGAATATAACATTACTCTATTTGTTTTGCCGTTAGCGAATCCAATTAATAAACAAGGAGGTAAACTAGTTCTCATAAATTAACCTTACTTATGATATTTCATGAATATTTGGCTAGTTTCATAACTCGTTTAAAAAGCAATTTTTTGCAATATGCTTAGAGGCAATATGTAAAACGATATTAATTAATAAATTAATTACCACAATTGTTTATCTAATTATTTTCAATTGATCTTTAAAAAATAATTTATTAAGTAATCCGTTTAAATATCGCAATGTTAATAAGTAACAGTAAGATACTAAGAAAATTACGATAACAATTGTTGTTGCCACATATTGAGACCAGATGGGTAATATAAGGAAATAAGACGCCAGTAAATTATTACAAATTACCTAATGGTAAGAACAAAAACTAGGGTCATAATATTTTTGTCCTTAGTCATTTGCATACTTTTTATGCCACTAATGAGATATTTATTTTACGACACTCGTTATGCCTTTGGGCATGGGAATATCAAACCTTCCTAATAAAACCTCTTATTAGTTAAAAATATTGTGCAAACTGATTGATTAATTAGAAAAACGAAGTATCCCGTATGGGAACTATTTTTAAAAAATATAATAAAAAATTGTCAATTATATCATAGATTAACACGTCGTATTGATTTTATAAGCATTTCAAAAATATTTTATCGAATATGTACGTTCTATTTAATTGCAAGTGTAGATTGAAATAATTGTATAAAACATCTAAAAAAAACTTATTCAAACATAATTAATTATATTTTAACGTAATTTGAACATAATAGTCGAATAATAATGTTGAACCTTAAAACAGCATTTAGCAATTGCATATGTTGAGCATCTGTTTACAGAATACTATTGCACTTGTAATTGGTAAAATACTTTTTCAGCATTTCTCGTGAAAAAATAAAATACAACTATAATCAACATGATTGTAAATTTTATTCATCTAATCTTCATACGATAAAAATGAAATATAAATAGAAATCAAAGAATTGCAAAAAATTACAATAACAAAAAAATCATTTTCCTTGACTAAGTTGAACGAAATACATATACAATGAGTTATTATTAGTTTATTGTTGTAATATGTATTTATATTTTTATAAATGCAATATATATATATATATATTGCATATAATGCAAAATATCATTATAATATGTTAAATGTGTTCTTCTTCAAAATATAAATTAGAAAACAGAAGGGGCATTATTTTTTAATTTTGATTTTGAATTTTCAATTGGAATAATTTGTTATAATAAGTAAAGTTATAAAACATTTTCATTATAAATTTTCATTATAAAAGTAATAAAAATTTATTGCACATTTAAAATGGGTACTAAGTTGATTATTTTAGAAAATACTTAGGGAATCTTTTTAGAAATCTATAAGTTGAGCGTGATTTTAGAAATTATAATCAATCTACAGTTGAAATTGCATCTTAAATTTATAAATTTTTTGAAAAGCCAAATTTGCTTATAAGTGATATAAACATAAAGTTCATTTAAATATCATTTACATATTAATATAGTAATATATAATAATATATAATATAATATAATAATTTATATATATATATATATATATATATATATATATATATACATATATATGTATGTATAAATGGCCAAATTATAATAGTTATATGTTATCAATACATTTCATCGTCCATTAAATCACTAAATAACAATACATTGTTTTTATTCAATGACTATTAATGTAATTTATTATTTATTTAAATATTACTTAAATATCGTGCAGATATTATGTATGTCAACAGTTTTGAATATATTTCGTATATTGAAAATGTTAATATTGAATCACATATTATTAACTAATTAATTTAAAAAAAATTATCAATTTTTTAATGATTTTTTTTTATGATTAATTATAATTAAAACTACATTACTGTTTGTTATTTTAGTCTAGACTTTTTTTTCTAAATTCAAATTAATAATAGTTTCATTGGTTCCACCATTTTACATTAATAATGCATCCATAAACCTAATTACCGTAATCATATAGTATTGTGCAATAAGTGCAGAATTTCAAGAAATTATATAGTGAGTTTAAAATTCAACGTATTAAATAGCATTGCATAACGCCCCCAATAAACTATATGAATTGATACTCAGTATTTGTTAATACCTTTAATAAATGTAAACTCACGGCATATATTGCTAATGTATATATTGATAAAGTTTGTTTTCCATTTTTTCTATTAAATAAATGAAAAAAAATTGTTGTAATTATTTTAATCAATCAAACAAATTATTTAACATTAGCTTAAATTCTTAATACTATTCTTTGTCTAATTTAATTTTATTAAAATTAATCCACATTTATGTGACATTAGCTCCTTCACTTACCTACATAGGTAAAAGACATTTATAAAAAAAATTTATTTCATTATAAATATATTGAAATCACTCCCTCTTATTATGAAACATTAATTGTGAATAAATCAATATATATATAATTATTAATGATATAAAATATTTGTATATAATATGCATAATATAACATTTTGATTGCAATTCACTTTTGAGTATTAACGTTGAAAACATAATATTCATGTAATAATTCTAATATATATATATATATATATATATATATACATAGCATATAAAACATATATTTATTTTAAAAAGAAAGATAATTCAGTATTTTTTCAATCCACAAAGAATCATGAAATATTTTGAGGAAAATACTAAATTATTATATTTAATATTTTCCCAATAATATAGTAAGTTTTTTTCTTGTAAGATGTAATTAACATTTTTACGAGGTGCTCCAGTACTCGTGAGAGATGAATACATTTATCCTTAACTATTATCATAATAAATTGTTATATAGGAGAAATGTTTTTAAAAAAATGTGTATTACTGTGTTCTTATATAAACATTTAATTTACCTGTTTTGGCTTTAATAAGCATGCAATCCCTACATACTCTTTATTTATGTATCTCAAGTAAACGATAATATACATAAATACAAATATTCTTTTGTAAAGTAGTGAAATTGCCATGACAATCAAAGTGTGTAAAGTAAAATTGACATACACAAACACAGGCAATTAAACAATTATGTTTATATCCAAATGGTAAGCATGCCTGATTTTAGATTTTAGTCGGAAATTGCTCAGTCACGCAGTCACGCAAGATCATCTTACCGAATTCTTTGGTGTGGTCATAAGCTACTTTACAATAATACCCATAATATTTAAATAAAAAATTAATTTACAATTTTTAATTATTTTATCGTCTACATTTTTTTATATATATAATTTTTCTATATATATAATTTGTCTTATAATTTTTACCAAATGCAATGCATTTACGACAAGATTTTGCGTAATCTTTAAGATTTTTTTAGTATGATTTATCAACAAGTTTGTGCTTTCCCGACAATTTTCATTAGCGCGTTCAATGATTAATATCTACGACTGTCATCAATCATAATCAAAAAATTTTTTCAAATAATAAGAAGTATTGTATTTGTATAATCATGATGAAAATTTGTAAAATATGATGGTGTTATTTATTATTAACCAGATGTTCCAAAAACGTATTACCTATTAATATAGATTAATATAATAATTTAACATGAATAATTGAATGGTTCATTTACAATGAAAATTAGTAGAATATAATGGCTTGATAATTAATGAAAGCTGATTGTCAGTTTAAGATTTTAATTTTGATATTGTTTTCCTACACATTTCAATTTTAAATCATAAATTCAATCATAAATTAAGTTATTTTGATATCTATGATACATTATTGTAAAATTTTCATATAAAAATTCAGTATTTTTTAAAACATTTAAGCTATTTAAACTGTCGTACTATTGTTGTATTAAATTTTTTTCACAAGAAATTTTCATTATTCCCATTGGGTGTGAAGATTTAATTTTCTGTTTAATAATACAATTATAGATAAGATTTTATAAAAATGTAACTACTAACAATAAAAAGAATAATACATAAAATTGTCGAAACTTATTTAGTAAAAAGTAAATATTTAGTTAACATTCAAATTTAATTCCAATACGAAATAAAACTGTTATATATACAAGTATAAATGAAGTAAACTTTAACTTTTCATATAATTTGAATTATCTGGGTATAAATTCGTTAAGTGCATACATTTAACTGGCGTCTAATAGGCAAAGATCAATTTATTAAATTTTATAAATAACTTGTAGAATATTTTAAAATTGATTACTAATAGATATGCTAAATTTTAATGTATGCATTAATCAAGAATTAAATGAAATTGTATATATTTAAATACATATAACTCCTCGTTAAACCGGAACTCCTAATCTATAATCCATACACAGGTTCATAAATGATAAAAAATAAATATTAAAATCAGATTAAAGCTTTTATCGATAAAAAAATGATACTAAATAAATATTTATATACTTTGTACTAGGAAGAAAGTCTTAAATGCATATTAAAGTATTGATGAAATAGAAAACTCTCGACGTATGAATGTATATATATATATATATATATATATATATATATAAGATAGAAATATTTATTAATAAAATAAACTTTACACTTTTGTGCCAGTGACATTATTATCTTATAACTAACATTCGGCTTACGAACTTTCATTAAATAAATAACTATATATAAGAAATTTATGATAGTAATTATGTACACATATTTTTTTATATATATTTATTTATTTATTTAATCATATCTTTGTTATTAAATCAAATTTAAATTATTTTTTTAAAATGATACGACTTTTTCCTCGTAAACTTGATACTTGAAGTATTTATAAATTCATATACTTAAATTTTACTAATAAGATAATTTGCCTATGTACAAGAGTTTTTTTTTTCACTTTAAAGCCCACAGTGTATATCTTTAAAATAAATTAGATAAACAAAAAATTTTACTTCGCATTACTTTGCGATCTTTATAATTATCGTATTTTAAATGCATCGGAAATATAAGTATAAAGAGTGAATGAATAAAGTTTCATTTCGATTGTTTTGGGGTCGGGCTTTTTCGGGCTTTTAGCATTCCATATTCGTATTACTACATGAAACATCACATATACTTTAATGCGTATACCCATGTCACTTACATCGCTAAAAATACGTATTTAAGCATTTGAATGTTTCGATAATAATATGTTGAAGCATAACGAAATAAAAATTACAGTAGAAATATTTACAACAAAGTATATTTTTGTCATAAATATCGATTACCATACGTAAAGACGGCTATTGTATTTCATCCACGTTCAAGCATTTAAAATTTACTTTTTTAAATTTACTAAGATTCGACGTATCTAGCTTGACAATTTTAAACGTAGATACGTATTTTGAAAGTAGATTATAAAAATGAAAGTTGCGGAATGCAAGAGAAATTTCTTTCCGTAGAACATGTAACTTGCGGCCCGGGTTATTCAAGTCCGCGAGATGCGATGCTTCATGGGCCGCGTGAGAAAATACTTTACGTTAACTGCATTCACACCGACCCGAACAAACCAGATATGTTGGCGACCGTTGACGTTGATCCTGCGAGTTCTACTTATTGCCAGGTGCGTATAAGGAAATCTACGATCCTTTATCTATCACTGTGACTCATGCCGTCTCTTCGCGCTTATCATCGTTTCACAATATTTCGACAATATTCGATGCCACGTCTCATCCACATTTATATTGTACTTCAAAGTCTTATTTAAAAACGCAATTCCCAGCAGTGATTATAATCCCTTACATTACTTTAATTTCAATTTATATTATCAGATAAGAGAACGTTTAAGCGTTTATTTATAAGAATACGAGATGGCCACCTGCACTTTGGCGGCTATAACATATTAACGATTTTAAAAACATAAACCATCTCCAAGCGCGGCCACCATCCGCTGCTGCGTCCTTCATCGCAATAAGAAACTATCGATCGAGGATATTTGGTTATTTTCTTGGATTATTAAATCGTTAAACAAGCCTGAAAACCATGTTTATTATTTCGCAGGAGGTGATTAATCACTCCGTGCTTAAAGCGATAAATGACTGAGAATTTAAAATGAATTCTATGATTATTGCATTAAAATTTGTTTAATCCAGCAATTTGCGATTAATCATTGGACAATTTTTTGACATCTTGTGACACCGGATAGCGCAAGTATTCGATAAAGCGAACGCGCTGGAGAGAGAAACAAGGTGCATTCGATTTTACGCGTTAAACTCGGCAGGTGCGCGACATCGTTGAAAGTCTAAGCTAAACATACCTAGAGCCAAAAACCTCGAGATACCGGTATTCAAACACATGGGAGTTATGGCTAGATATCCTTAAGCTCTTAATCATCGTCTTCATTATCAGGCGACCGTTTATATACCCATTTCTGAATCACATGGCGCCCTTACAGATAATTCACAAGCTGAAAATGCGGGAGGTAGGCGACGAGCTCCACCACAGCGGTTGGAATATCTGCAGCAGCTGCTACGGGCATCCGAAGAAGCGTGACACACTGGTACTGCCGTGTCTCGTCTCCGACCGCATCTACTTCGTGGACGTGTCGGAGCAGAGGGCGCCGAGGATCAAAAAGGTCGTTCGATCTCAGCGCAATTAGTGCTCGACCGCGCTACTTCCAACGTCTTTCGATTTCCTGATTTTGGCCCCTTTAAATTTGACACGAGCCGACGAAGCAATTATTATCGCCTTTTACCAACTCCAACGAGCCTCACCAATACTCCAACGTTTCGTAGCGCACATTTCATTAGTATTCGGGGCACGGTATTTTTAATTTTGTCAGCTTTTAAGATAGAGAGAGAGAGAGAGAGCGTATGGAGCGCAAAGCAAATAAATGGAGCCGGGTAAACAGTTTCATAATGCGTCCGAATGAATTAGCACATACTCGGCATAGCTCGCAGCGGATAATGCTCGGCCAATGTAAAAATGGCATTCCTCCGTAGATTCTCGAGCCCGAGGAAATGCACAAGCATGGAGTGGCGACACCTCACACCGCGCATTGCTCGCCCACTGGTGAAATCATGATATCGACTCTGGGAAATCCGAGCGGCGACGCCGTCGGTGACTTCCTCTGCATCGACAGCAATACCCTGGAGATCACGGGTACGTGGGTGAAGAGCGAGCAGAAGGCCAAGTTTGGCTATGATTTCTGGTATCAGCCTTATCACGACACTCTTATAGCCACGGAATGGGGAGTGCCCAATGTATTCAAGCGGGGATTTTCCGCTGACGATCCCGAGAACGTAGGTAAGGCTCGACGTAATCCTCAATTCCATTAATTGCCGTCTATATTTTAAGTGTCTACTCCAACTTTTCACTGCTTGATGGCTTGATCGTAATGCACGAGCATCATGATAAAGCGAATTTATTCAATTCCTTCGGTAAATTGCTGTTATAGCTGATGCCTCTATATGTTCCAAGACTTATTTTATTCATTAATTTATTTGATAGTTTTAATCAATAGACATTACCATCTGAACCCTGGATCAATGAGAAATGTACACTTCTTCGTACTTTAAGCATAAAGGAAAAAAAATTATTAATAAATAAATAAATAAATAAATAAATAAATAAATAAATAAATAAATAAATTAGCTATTCAAGGTAATATTATAGTATAATTATTAGTAATTTTTACATTTTCTTCCTTCTTTCTTTTTTTTTTTTTTCCCCTAAAAAAGTAAAGTTGCTTTAGCTTTCTATTTTTTAATCTATAATTTTTCTATTTATTTATGTTCTGCTTTTTATTTTTATTTTGTGATTTTAATATGAATCGGAATTTCAACAACAATTTCTGATAACATAACGTGCAATTATATACTGTGCAAATGAAATTACGGCTAATTGGTGCGTAAATTAAAAGAAATCGATAAATAAATCTTTATATGCGTTTGAAAATTTCGTAATTAAAGTTTTACAAAGATTCATAAAAGTGTAAACAAAATTTTATAGTTTAGATAAAACTTGACATTCGCATAAAATGTTTTATCAATACTTTCGGAATTCATTTATGTAAAATAAAATATGGCTAAACTCGGACACGGTAGTATTCTATAATGATATAAGAAAAATTAATTGTTTTTTCTTATACAAAATACATAGTATTGAATATTTGCTGGATCGTAATATTTTTTATTAGCCAACTAAAATTTTACTATTACGTAGCATAAAAGATTTATTCTAAACCATTTTTGTATTATAAAAAGAAAGTAATAATGAAATTTTTATTTAAAAAATAAAAAAATTTTTTCATAAATAAATTTATCTACTCCTTTCGTTTTACGCTTTATCTCTAATCAATTTTATTATGCCAAAATCGAGATAATTACATTAAATATCAATGGATCACCAATACCATCATTCGCATATTGTTGTGACAAATCAATGACAATTTTCTGATAATACATATTATCCTTAAATAATTGATGAGCAAAGCGTAAACACTGAATTCAAATGAAAAATAATAATCATTATAAGAAGTAATATCATATTGTTGAAATTAACTTAAAATGAAAGGGTATAGATATTTTAAATTATTGAAATAATATATTTGAGAATAGATGAAAATTTTTCGATACGGAAACCCGTAAAATAATGATTAAAATCTTTTCAGAAAACCAAATAAGCTTTTGAAATAAAAGAAGTTGACATAAGCTCATTATTATAATGAGAAATGTTGTAACGATATCATAAAAGATATAGATTATTATTATTATAGAGATTATAGAGATCATATATTGATTCAACGATGAGTGAACGAGTGGAATAAATAATAAAAATCGTGCAAATTTGTGTAGATTTCCTTTGAATAAAAATTATCTTTATTTATTTATAAGAATTACTGTTTTAAATTTCGTATGCGCAGGCGTTGCGCTATTACACAAAATAAATCTAATATTAAAATAATAATTTAATTTTTTTTCAGCGTCATATGAGGGTTTGTAGCTTTGAACTTTTTATTAAACTTAAGTCTATGTGTAGTTTTCAAACTTAAAATATTTGTATGCAAAGTTTATGGATTTTAGAAAATTTTTTTAAAATAATTTGTATACATAACAAGCGACATAAACTGTGACTTATCATTATGCAAATAATTAATTAAACTTTAACTGCTTCACACAATTACGAAATTAATAATGTTCTATTAAAGTAGCTCACTTTCTAGCCTATGATTAATAATTTTATTAAAGGTGTATGATTTTTTATTTATATTAATTATTTCACTAAGGCTTTTAGAATTCTTAATATACTGAAAATGCACTTATTTTTAACTCTAAAGTAGACAACATAATTATTCAAAAGATGATGAAAAATGTTCTAATTATATTTTATGTCTTATTATTAATAATAAATTAATCCATACTAATGATAGAAATTAATCTAATAATTTTCATCTAAGTAAAATTGAAACAATTATTTAAAGAAATAGAATGTTGATATATTACAAAAAAAAAAAAAAATTAAAAAACAATATAATAAAATTCATTCGATCTTTATAATACATTTTTTATAATGTACTTTTTGTATCTTTCATGGTAATTTTTATTGAAATTTTTATTGAATATTGTTCCAATAAAAACTTCGTAACCGCTAAAATAAGGAGAAGAAATAATTTATTATTAATAATCCTATTTAATCCATTGACTCTGAATATACCGAAAATTTCAATACTTTTAACTTATTTTCATCTTATTATTTAGCTATTTAATTATTAAAGGAATATATAACAAAAAAAAAAAAAAAAAAAAAAAAAAAAAAAATTTGGTGGAGAGTATTAATGATAAATTAACAAAAAATATTTCTATGCCCATGACGAATACTCTCTACAAATAGAAATTATCTTTTATACAAAATTTTAGTAAACAACTATTTGACACAAGTTTTCTAATATATATGTGAAGCTTTAATGGTAAAATGTAAAAAAATATTATATAATTGTATAATAAATACCTAGGGGATGTTTAATAAATATTACTAAACATATTAAATTATTTTATATATATGAAATGAAATATAATGGGTAATTTCTTATTTATGCTTCAGTAAATTTTATAAGATATAAACAAAATTTAACCAATCATGAATTAATAATGTATTAGACTAAATTTTTCTTCGATTTCAAAGAAATATATAAAAGACTCCGTATTATAGTCTAATAGTTAAATAGTTAAAGAAAAATGTTTAAAAAATCCTACGTCTGATAAATATTGGCTATTAAAGTTAATAAGAAAACGAGAGTATATCTTCAGTCAAATGGATAGAATGGATTTACAGATTCAGTAACGAATACATTTTAAGGCTTAAAGTATTATATTATAAAATAAGGCGATATGGTTATTATTACTTTATAATTTAACACACACACACATATATATATATATATATATATAATGGGTGCTAGAAATAATCGAATGCCCTTACCCTGATTTAATAACCAATAAATAACGAAAATTATAAGAACAAATATTTCACAACAGAAGTTTACGGTAGAAGCCTGAACTTTTACTCGTGGAAGAATAGGACTCTTCAGCAGGTGATTAACCTTGGCGAGGAAGGCACAACTCCTCTCGAAGTGAGATTCCTGCACGAGCCGACGAGCAATATCGGCTACGTAGGCTGCGCCATGCACTCTGCTGTTTATAAGTTTCAGAAAAAGGAAGACGGTACTTGGACAGCGGACAAAGTCATTAAGGTCCCAGCAAAGAAAGTCGAGGGATGGATAACACCGTACATGTCTGGTAATAATCTCTTGTTTTTCTTTTCCTTTTTCTCATTTCCTCACTCATGCCAGCAACAGCTGTCAACGGGTCATTCTTTTCAATGAGAAGATATTTTTAAATTCTGACAACTTAATAAATTAATTTGACTTTAAGCACTCTCGTGCACTTATAGTGGCTGGGAGAACTACCAAGTAACGTATCGTAATGTTTCTTGTTACAATTTGACTTTATTTAAATACCGAAATAAAATAATTGTTATATGAATTACATGAAAATAAAAAACTCTCAAATCATTAAATTCGTAATCCGATGATTTTGCAGGGCACGCTATTTTAGGGCAGAATTATAAATTAGATTTATATTACGAATAACGTCACGAAAACAAAAAACAAAACAAAACAAAAAATATAAAACAAAAAAAAAACAAAAAAATGCACAGCCTAGATTGTTAATTTTCCATACAATAACATTGATTTATTAATAATTGCAGGTATGATTACGGACATCCTCGTGAGCCTCGACGACAAATACTTATATTTTTCAAATTGGCTCCACGGTGACGTACGTCAATACGATATAACAGATCGGGATCATCCACGTCTCGTAGGTCAAATTTTTCTCGGCGGCTCGGTTCTCACTGATTCTAAGGTGCGTGTGATCGAAGATCAGGAGCTGGAAAAACAACCGAATCCCATTTATGTTAAGGGTCGCAAATTGGATGGTTCGCCACAGATGTTACAATTGAGCTTGGATGGGACTCGCCTTTACGTCACGACTTCCCTCTTCAAGCCTTGGGATCAACAGTTTTATGCGGAGCACGTCAAGTAAAACAACTTGTCTTCTCACCCATTTTTTCGACTTTTAAATTATTTACAATGTAGAGGGGCCGAGGGTGTGTATGAGAAAGAGAGAGAGAGAGAGAGAGAGAGAGAGAGAGAGAAGGTGATATGAGAATTCATCGATTTAAAACAATGCTTGGCAATTTTTCAAGTTATTTTAGTCACGATGATGAAGCAACTTCACACCACCTGCTTTTGACCAAAGTCAAATGTTCAATGTACAGTAAACCATTAAAATACAATTAATCAAAACGTGCAGAATTAAATGAAATTAATGCCTTATAGAGATATCACACGAATGTACTGTACACTTAAATAATACGGCTTATGGAGAAAAATTTAAACTTAAATTGCCAATAAAGAAAAATGTGTATTTATTTCAATTTCAATTCTTTAAATAAATAAATTATTTATTAATTAAACAAAATTATTTTACTCTAGACATGGTTCAGTGATGGTGAAACTTAACGTGGACATTAAAAACGGAGGTATGAAAGTCGACCAAGATTTCTTAATTGACTTTGGAAGTGACCAAAGCGACGTTTTACTAGCTCATGAAATGAGGTGCCTATTTAAATTTACATTAATTCATTTTCTAATAAAAAACAAATTTAAACTAATACTCTTGTTAAACCATAACATACAGATATCCGGGAGGCGATTGCACATCCGACATTTGGCTTGCAGAAGAAACGAAACTCTGAATTATCATTTATTATTTCGAATACCGGCTTTTAGTATAGTTGCAAGCAAAAAAATATCTCCAAAGTACTCCGTGCGACACGACGACAACTGCTTATATAATTGCCACGTGGCAATTAAACCTTTTGCATTATAATTCACGGACAAGACGCCAAAAAATTCGCGCCTCGGTTCTTTAATCTACCGTAACAACCGGTAGTGAGTGCTTATTGCGAATCCGGTCACTTTATTATTACATGTATACTATTATTGTTATTTCTATGTATTCAGAATGCCAATTTGAAAATAAACAATGTAACGATATGATTTATAGTCGAAATAAAAACAATTGTATGTAAATTACAAAATCTTAAAAGTATGGAATATTATATTTGTATCTTAGCATTTAATTAAAGTAAAATAAATAAAGTCAAGTAGAGGAAGTAGAGAATTATTATGAATGTAAATTAAAAAAAATATTTTAATTTTTATCACGCGTGAATGCATAATTAAGTTAACTCATATTGGATCGATAAATATGTTACGTAAAATGTCATTGATTCTATAGCAAATAACTTTATGTATGAATGTTCTAATATACAAAATTATGAATTATTAAATTGACATTTTGTTGCTGAAACTGTTAAGAAGCAATAATTTACTTATTTTATTTTTATAAACATCTGTTTGAATAAATTCTTGACACAATTTTTCTTTTCGTTTTTTTTTATTTTATTTTATATTGCTACCATATAAACATAACTTAATATCAAACTTTTATGTGAATACTCGATATTATGTCTTTAATCGAGAAACAGTAAATATTTGCACATATATTTAATATAATTGAAATTTTCTTTTACTTTTATAAATTTTTGAAGTACAACGATAATGGTTGAAACAACAACACTTGATACACTTTACACTTTACACTTGATATATATTATTAGTATCACAAATTCATATCTATATTGACGATCACAAAATTTACTATGAAATAATATAAAAGATAATTTATTGATAATTTTATAAGAAATTTATTATCGACTTCGATTAGATTAATCGGTTGATTGACATTTTCCATTCCATTATTTTGATTAAACACGTAATACAAAAATTTCTTTCTTATTATTTAATTTTATTTATAGAAATTGAAGTATATGAGAGTTGGAGAACTTAAAAAATTTTTAAAATACGAATCTTAATAGAAACTTAAAAATAATAATATTGTATTGTTGCTTTTAATACTTAACTTACATGTGAAATTTTATTTATCTTTCGGAATTAGCGTTATCTTAGAAAAATGCGAAAAATATTTACAGAAGAATTTTTACATTTCTATTCAGCGTCAATTCAATCCTAATGAAGATAATAACTTACAAAAGACATTAAAACATCTTATAATGTTCATATAATATTTTTGAAAATCTTTAGTTATCTTTAGTTAGAAAAAAAAGAGATTTAAAATTAAAAAATTCGGTACTATTCACTATGTTGTGATTTTTAAGTTTTTTTTTTTTTTTTGTTTTGATAACAGTTGCTAAAATGTTTGAATTTCATGCTACAAAATTGTGTATATAAAAGGAATCTCGGTAATTGTACATAAGAAAGCAACGACTAGTATTTCTAACTATTCAGGTCTGTCAAGTATCCTTAATGAGTAAAACGAAAGTTCAATAAATCGACGCATTACACTAATAAGGTATTCAACATTTTTAAAAAGTGGGTTTTATTAACAACATTGTTAATCTTTTCTGCAATACCTGCCTTCGAGTATGTATTCAATTAAAAAAATTATTTTCCATTGCCTCATATTAATTTTTTGTAATGATTATAAACTTTCAAAAGACCTTTTCACTTTCCAGAGTTTCTTCTATGCTACGATTATGTTTTTAATGCAGTAACTACACTTGACAAATACAATTCAATAAATATTAATAAGTTATATTGAGATTGAAAAGTTTTAAATGTGTAACTATAAAATCGATTCAATTAACAAAAATACTACAATGTTTTTATTAAGTAGATTTACAATAAATGATTAATGGATAATGAATTATGCTTAATAAGAAATGGGAATGCTTAAAGTTATAAATAAAAAATTACGTCAATTCGTCCTCTTCCAACAGCGTCGTAAGGATTTTTTAAATAAACCAAACGCCACACTTATCAATTGGAAATTTCTACAATCTTAGATATTTGAAATCGATATATTTATATAGCACGCAAATAATATTAAATTCAACACATTTGAAGCATAAATAACTTAAAATAATGAAGGAATTTTTCATTCTTTTGAACTTATTATTCTAAATTTGGAGCAATTTAATTACCTTAAATAAATTATTACTCAATCATTAGTTAATTTTAAGAATTGCTTAACTTTCAAGATCACTTTCAAGAATACACGAGCTTAAAAAGAAAAGTAAAGAAAAGAAAAAAGGTGAAAAAAAATTACATTATTTGTGCAGCAGCTTTGCGTTGGTCACCGAAGACCATGTTTTTGTTCATGTTTTTGCGTTTGTGTCTTCGGCTACTTCGTCTGTACCTACTTCTTGCTATGTCCTCTATTAATATATCTGCTTTAATACAGGTCGAATGCACTTCTTGAAATAAGATATGACAATTGCGCAAAGTTATGAGCAAAGCATTTCTTAATAAAGCTATAAAATTTTAAATCTCCACTATCATCTTCAAATAACATGAACGAACGTTGTGTTTGAAAGAGAAGTCAATAAAGCATTGATTGGCCACTAAACAATAGGATTATCCATTTGTTCGTTCATTATATTACTATTAATCATTAATAATGATGAGGTATTACAGTGTCTTGTTGTGAATTACCATTAGCTATCGTCCATCAACGTAATAAGAATCAACTAACTGTTGGCGTCTAAATTCACAGCGAAAAATGTTAGGTTAGTTAAAAGCAGATCTCACACGCGTCATTAATAATACTCATATAATAAAAATAATACTTTTTGTTCATATGCTTCAATTAACATACAATCGATAAAATAATTTACAGATGATTATCGTTTACGTATTTACTATTTATTAACTCCTATTCGGCATTCGTGCCGAGGGTGCATTTCACAACAGTAGAGTATAAATCGCCTCGATAAATAATCCAATGTCAAGCTATTTTTCGGTAATTTCTTGTCGATTTCAAAATAAGATGATACATTCCCGTAAATAATGATAAATACGATGGAAGCGCTGCACCCAGACCTCGGCCCTTACAAGCCGTAAAACATTCAACGAGTGCGAAATTAGTAGAAAGTTCGCGCGGTCGTTGTCTCGCGGATAAATCCGTTGGGAAGAATTTTCAAACGAGAAAAGTGGAGTCTGGAATAATCGTGACGCGTCTCCTCGTCATCTTAGCGCGCGCAATTCGCACTCGCGAGGATGGACATCTGTGCTAAATTTGCGGAACTACGGGAATTATAGCTAGCGGGAGAGCTTCTGCGAGGCTCCTCCGGCTTCTCCGAGCAATTTTAATTGAATGACTAAGCGCGTAAAAGAAATCTCAAGGGTCACTGGGAAACCATGCGACATAGAAAGCGCGAGTGAGGGTCGAGAGGGTTTGTTGTCCAGGTGAGCCGGAGATCAGGAGATCGGTACTTAAGGGCCGGGATAGCGTCGAGTCGTTTTGGGGGCTCCAATTTTTTTTTCTTGTAGGAGGGGGAAAGAGGAAGAGGTGGATTCCTCGCTAATAATCGGCTCCTATTCTCGAAAGAGAGGAAGCGCGTCGGTCGAACAGCGAGAGAGTAAACGAGCATGAGGGCGGGAGGACGAGAAGGAGAGAAAAAGCGCGTTGGCGCAACGAACGAACGATCGGCCCTGAAGAGGGAGGAGGGAGGGAGAGAGAGAGAGAGAGAGAGAGAGAGAGAGAGAGAGAGAGTCAAGCTAATCGTGTGGTAGTTTGTAGTTGGTAGCTGCCGCCGCCGCCGCCACTTGTTTAACGAGTAGAGCGGAGAGAGCCATGCAGCGGTCTCGCAAAATTCCCTGTTTCCTCTGTTTACGAGACATCGGGCGTCTATAAGGATTTATCGTAGTCGCAGCCACAGCCGTAGCCCCAGTCGCCGACGACCCCGCCACCGACGACGACGACTACCACCAGCGAGGACGCTAGCGCACGGAACGTGCTCCGAGTCGCGAGGGACTTCGAGGAGGAGGAGGAGAAGTAGTCAACGGGGAGTCTCCGTCCCCGAGGCCGCTTTCGCAGATAGTCCCCTTCGAGAGAGGAAACGATGGCCGGGACCTTCGACCAGTATGACAAGTCCAGGTCTGTTTTCTCCAGAGTGCTCCCACCACGTGACACCTACTCGATCCTACCTTCTCTTATCGTTAGGGCAGCTTTCGCGCTTTCGACTTCTATTTTCGCTCGGCCTAACAAATTAATGGTCTCCTGCGAGATTAATAACAACAGGGCCAGCGGCCAGCGGCCAGCGGCCAGTGGGTCTACGTTCGCTCAGAATTCCTTGGCACGGACGAGAGCTTCCCCATTGGTAGCTGTAACTTTAATATCCCGTGTTCGTCGCGACTTATTCGTGATGGAGCATCGCGACCGGGTGATGACGTTGAAAGCCGTGCTCCCGAGGGTCCTTGATTTATTATTTCACTATTGCTTTGGCTTTTATTGTATACGTTTTATTGTATCTAATGTGTCGTATATTCGATAAAGGGACATATATTTAATGGAGATTGATGAAAATAATTTTGTTTCAGCTGGTACTTTGGAGCGATGTCCAGACAGGATGCCTCCGATTTACTTATGAGCGAAAAGGAAGGCGGTGTTTTCTTAGTAAGAGACAGTATTTCCATACACGGAGACTTTGTTTTGTGCGTCAGAGAGGATAGCAAAGTTAGCCACTATATTATCAACAAAATTCAACAAGGAGATCAAATTCGTTATCGAATTGGAGATCAAATATTTCCAGATATTCCAAATTTATTGGCATTCTATAAATTACATTATTTGGACACCACGCCGTTGATCAGACCAGCGCCGAGAAAAATCCAGAGGGTAATAGCCAAATATGATTTTGAAGGCAACGATCCCGATGATTTGCCATTCAGAAAAGGTAATTTAATTATTATTTTTATACAAGGACAGCGATTAAGTTGCACATTTTAGTTGCTTTTATAAATAGCCTAAGGATAATTTTGTCCAGTAGAATCCAGGATCGTTAGGTTGTGTCTTTATTTCTTTATAAGTGTGGGCAAACTTGACACTTAGGCTAGCAATAACGATACACTTAAATCTTGAAAATTGATATACGAAGATCCAAAGTACATAATGAAACGATTGAACCAACATTTATTGTCAGGCATTGTTACGATGAAAATGAGGTTAAGAGGCAAAATGTTTTATAAAAGTCTTAAAGGATAGAGTAAATGCCATCTTAAGGATAAGCTATTTTTGTCTAGTTTATGAGAACATTTCACAATAAAATTAATTCTCAATACTTATCTTGGAAAGTTTTTTTTTTTTATTTTTTTATTAAATAATAGATTAAAAAATATCTTATTGTTTTCTCAATTTAGCAACGAATCATAATACATTATTTAAGTTATTGAAAAATATTTGTAATAGTATTGGGATAAGAATTCAGTTGCTTTGCAAGTATAATATTAGACACGTTTAATGTACATTCATTGTAAAATAAAATGTAATGTAAGCATAGAATTACAGTGCTAGTCGCACATACGTTATGCATAATTTAAAAATGTTTTCAAATCATTTATTTAGGAGAAATTCTCACCATAATTTCTAAAGATGAAGAACAGTGGTGGACAGCTAGAAACAGCCTTGGACAAACTGGATCAGTGCCTGTTCCTTATGTACAAAAATACGAGGACGATAATCATACTATTGAAGCAACACCTGCTAGACCAGAAAGCGGAGGTAGTTCGGGCTCTGGAACTCAATCATCTCACGCTGATACAGTTCAGACTACAGCAACACGTCGTTCTAACATTCAGCGAACGCTTCCAGCTTTTGCTAAAGTTAAACAAGCACGTGTGCCGAATGCCTATGATAAAACAGCATTAAAATTGGAGGTTGGAGATATCATCAAGGTCACAAAGACGAACATTAATGGTCAGTGGGAAGGTGAATTACATGGTAAAATTGGACATTTTCCTTTTACGCATGTGGAATTTGTAGATAATGAAACGAACGAAGACAGTCAAGAAATTTAACGGACATTTAAATATGAAAGTGAAGTGAAAAATTAGCAGCTACTGCATATACCAATATGGCAAAGTTTAATCGTGTGATGCAATTGTATCATATCATTGTACGGTGATTTGACAAAGTGTAATATCATCAAATCCAAACCAAGATGAGTATAGAACCAACAATTGTTCTATTGACACGATACAAAATTTTTACTTGCATCAAAGTCAAATACAAAGTGGAGTTTAATTCAGATAATGTTAACACGATGCCGTTAATATTATTAAATTAAAGTAGAATTTCATTTAAATCAACAAATTAATTTTAAAAAGAAATGATGATAGATTATTGTTAATTACTTAATAATTAATTGCTTTGATTACTATATATATATATATATATATGTGTGTGTGTGTGTGCGTGTGTGTGTGTGTCAGCGTGTGCATGTGAGTATATGCATATATATATATATATATATAAATGAAACTTGGACAGCTTTTATTGGTATTACATTTAAAAATATATTAAAATACATTAATAAATAAGACTTTTTATAAAAACTATTAAATAAAAAATTAAAATATTAACGTAATTCAATACTTATATGGTAAAACCGCATATGTGAAATTTTATAACTTATCAAAGTTTTAAATACAGAGAAAAATATATGTAAATAGTATAAATATTATTATCAAAGTGTTTTTATAGATTAACGTGTTATATTAAATTTATTATAATAATCTTGTAATTTATATTAGCTCTTTAAGAATTTTATAGTTTTTGGTTCTATTAAATATTTATGAAAAATGTACCCTCAAATATTCAATTTACCAAAAGTATAAGCAATAGAAATAAAAAGTAATAAATTTGTTATATAATTGAACTTAATCTATTTTTACTAATAAAAGGTGTCCTTATCTATTTAAGTTTACAATTTATAAGTGTGTACATTCTTTCATATTAAAATTTAATTGCAAATTATAGGTGTTAACAATATTTGTCAGCTTATGTAACAATTAAACAAGGATACACAAGGTCTTCCTAATTGATGCTATCAATTTTAAAATTTACCAAAACGTTGCTTTGTAGCATCAATCTCTAGTCATCGATTACTAAAAAGAATTCTCACATTCTTTTAAGGCTTAAATGTACATAGTACATAGCATAAAAAATCTCACACTTTTTTTAAACGCACGTAATATAATATTGGTAAATACAGACGCTGGCAGCTAATGACAAATTTTGACTTGAAAATCTGTATAATACGTTGTGGAAATTAATTTCGATAATTTTGACGTAACGTTCTAAACGTTAAACCTGTCTGTATGCTATAAAATTGTGATAAAGAGCATTTTATTCGAGCTGATTAAAGCACAGCCTTTGACTTGCAAAAGATGCATTTATTATTTTTATAACTGTGGAAGGAGATGCAGATCGTGCAGAAATAAATCACTTAAAATCCAATGTTAAGGAGTATTTTAAAAAATTCTTATCTTTCTTTGTGCCTGTAAATTTTTTCGAATTTTAAAAAGACGTAAAAATCTTGGGTCGACGACGAGCCAAGACAAGCCAATTCGTCGAATAAAACAAACGGAGCATAAAGTTGTAACTCTGTATCTCAAATATAAAATTTATTTGCTTTATTGCCAATACAATGTCAATACGATCTCGTGAACTAATTTTGGTATGATTTTATATTTAAGCGCTATGTCTGTATAAAATGAAAATGACGAAGAGATCTGTGCCATCGTGTAAACTTAAATATTTAACATTGTCAATATATAAACATCAAAGAGGAAAAATCCAACGAAATATGCATCAAATGATGCATAATAATGATTTACTAAACAGTAATACAGTAATATAATAATAATGGCCATTACTATTGTCACTGATCGCATTAGTAATTGACGATTAGAACTGTGTTACAGTAATTTCTTGTCTTGCGCACTCGCTGTATTTAATATTCAATATTGAACGTTATAGGAGTGTTTTTCCTTTTTATTTTTTATATTTAATTTTTCCATTATCTTAAATTTGTGCAAAGTATAAGCAAAATTTGATATACGAAAATGAAAGCACATACTATGTGGTACTAATGTATATTTTTCTATAAGTACGCGCATACTCAATCTTCTTTTTTTATAGCGAAACTGTTGCCAACCAATGCTGAGCAATTATAAGAATAAAAAGTGTCTGTCGATTAGATAAGTATTGTATTGTAATTTATATTAAAAAAATGTAATGGAACATTTGTTCGTTGCAGATAATAAATAGGTATTGTGAAAACAAAAAGAAATGTCTATTGCATATTATAGTAATTGCATTCGACAGTTTGTTTTATTTAAAATAATACTTAACTTAAACATTCAGGTATCTAATACATTCCAAAGCTATGTATGATTTATTTACTACAATTTGCTTATAAATTATACTCTCTGAAGTCACTTTGCACTTTATTTGTGAAAAATCATCTAGTTCGTCGACTTCTATTACAATCTAACTACAATCATGCATAATATACACAATATCATCTCTCTGACAATCCAAGACAATCATAAGGCTGGCAATATAGCATTCAAGGTATTTACAAGGAAATAAAAGAATCAGCTGGCGCATTGAATTTTGCCAATTTCGTTATTCTTTCATTAGTTAAAAACAGGTACACCACTTGAACGAAGGTGGTCACTTTTCTACCGCGCTAATTGCGTTATTAACGCAGCACACATTTCAAAAAATTCCATTGTATGATGTCCAGTTGCTTGGGAGAGTGGTAGGACAATTTCTACAATAAGATTTATCATTAGGAAGATTGACAATTTATTTGCGACCCTCGTAAGGTCTGTAATGCAATCGTGTTACCTTTGATTATATCTTCGGATTCTTCGCTTGACAATGATTTAAAATCTAAGAGGTAACTTTTGCAATCCACTTGATAAAGCTGTAGCGACATCTTACTGTATCCATCTGTGATTTTATTTTTATGCCTTACTCTAACGCTATATGGATTAATGACTTTCCACTCAAAATTAAGAGCTTTCATGGCACGATAAACTTCGTTCATTATATCATTTGGCTTCGATTGAGATCTAATTCCTAAATGCCACTTTGCCCTTTTAATTGGCGTACCTCGATTGCCTGGCATTTGCGTGGGAGTAGTATTGAGAGAACCTTGTCGCTCGCGAAGAGCTGAAGTAAATATTTTATCTTTTATAAATTATTTTCACATTTGTCACATTTTTCAATTTTTATTATAAGGTCGAAAATATATTTTATATGAATAAGACACTCGCGCGATGATATCGTTGTTTATCTGGCATACGTAAGGCAAAACTAATGGCGATGATTAAAGACGGATATTTGTTAAAAAATAAAAAGAAAAAGGAAAAAAACAAAAAAACAAAAAAAGTATTGACCAATCGTGGGAGATAGAGCGAAGATAAGCACAAACACTTACGGGCTATCCTCTCGGGATGTGGCCTTAATGGACTACCGCTTGCTTCGTTAGGACTAAAAGCTACCGGTGGTGGACTCGATGCCACATAAAAATCTTTAATTTCTGCCTTCGCTGCTTCATCCGCAATTCTTTTATTATCTATAATTAAATGGTAAGCAATGGCCAGTTGATCGTGAGGATCACCATTGAGTAAGGCGGCATGAACTTCGGCTTCTTTAACATTAAACTTTTCGCAAACTTCGTTCACAGCATCTATATCGATCACCGAAGAATCTTGTTCGACTGGCGAAGGGAACAAGTACGTTGGAAGTTCTTTTTGAAACCATTCGTGCTTTCTTTACATATAAATTCATATACATATTAGTGTTTGATATAATAATGTTTATTAAAAATCAATAGTACAATGCAATTATATATATATATATATATATATATATATATATATATATATATACATACATACATACATACATAAATACATATCTATAATTGCATAAAATTAATTTTCACTTACTTAATGTCTTCTATAGTTGCTCTTTTCATTGGATCGACTTGTAACATATGACACAGAAGATTTACTACACTTTTGTTAAGATATTCGGGAATTGGAAAAATACCAGCTGTAACGTCACAATAAAATTCAGATAAAAAGAAAGAAAAAATTTAACAATTTGTCAGTAGGCAATACTATTTGTTTCGTCAATAGCATACATTTAATTTTACGAAAGAGAGTTGGAACGTGCTCGTCGTCAAATGGCAATGTTCCACATAGTAACGCATATAAAATAACGCCACAAGACCAAATGTCTACCTCGGGTCCTGCGTATAATTTTCCAGAAATCACTTCTGGTGCGGCATAATTTGGTGATCCACAAGACGTACGTAAAAACTCCCCGTCCATCATCATGTTTGACAGTCCTATGAATAACATTGGGCACATTAAAGCTCAACGACGTTGGAGCAATGTTTATTGGTGACATACCAAAGTCTGCTATTTTTACATGAAGATTGTGATCTAAGAGCAGATTTTCTGGCTTTAAATCACGGTGAACTATCATGTGTCTATGGCAATAATCAACGCCAGATATAATTTGTTGAAAGAATCTACGAGCTTCGTATTCTTTTAACTTTCCATGCTTAACTATATAATCAAAGAGCTCACCGCCAGAAACATATTCCATAATCATAAATATATCCGTCGGTGTGCTGATAACTTGATACCTAAAAATTGTTGAATGACAATGCTCGATAAGTACAACGACGAGCTAACATTATAACATTATCAAATAAACGACGGCTTACAATTTAATGATATGGGGATGTCGAAACAATTTAAGATTTTGAATTTCCCTGCGAATCTTTCCAACTACGTCGAGGCTCTTGATCTTCTGTCGATTTAAAATTTTAACAGCCACTTTGTGCTTTGTCAAAACATGCTCCCCAACTAAAATATTGACAACGTTATAATCACATTGCATGCTCTTAAAGCCATGGAACAAAAAAAACAAAACAAAACAAAAAAAGAAATAATAATAAAAAAATAATAATAAAAATAATAATAATAATAAAAATGCTTTAACAAGGAGAAAAATGCACTTACTCTTCACCTTGCCAAACGTTCCAATACCCAATGTTGCACCTAACGTGTAATGCCCTATTTTAACAATAGGCTGCACTTGATTGTTGGGCAATTTATCCGTCATTTTTCGCCGCTAAATTGAAAACAAAAAAAAAAAGAAAGAAGGAGAAGAAGAAGAAGAAGAAGAAGAAGAAGAAAATAGAGGAAAAAAAAGACAACCCATAAAGCATAAAAGCCATGAAACGAGCACGTAAAACATTGGCTCTAACGCGTCAATTAAATATCGGGAAAAGCATATCCGCTTGTGAATATTTACCTTGAACTTCTATTAAAAAACGGCAAACCGCGCCAAGGAATGCGAAAGCTTGCTTAAAATCTTGACGACATGAATGCACAGGGAGGGACGTCGAGGAAAATCAACGGGAGCCCCCTCGTTAAACGAGATTGTGGAAAAGTCGGCAGGACCGTGGTATTTACATGTTCTTATTTTCTAACACTCTTGATCACAAGAAGAAAACGCCTCTTGATTTATCTGACCACAGTCGCATATACAGCTCTGGAAACTCCGCCAATTTTCGGTAGTGGGGGATGTAATCATTTTGAAGTCGTTCTGTCATTTCGCGAGCAACCGCACGCAGCAGTACGACGTAGAGGTGCTGCATCAGGTGCTCGGATTCTAGGGTTAGGAACGTAAGTTACGTGATGTACGACGCGTAAAGTATGAGAGGCTAAGTAGAGGCGAGCGAGTGCGCGTCCGTGTTTGTGATCTCGTGTCTTTTGTCTGTTTCGAGTTTACTTTTGGGATTGCGATGCACTGGTGTCTGGCTGTTGATTTGACTGGGCATCGTCATGGTGGCTTACGGTCGTCATGAAATTTCTTTACCATGGCATTGTGCAAATTGGAGAATTTAATGGGATAGTTGTTGGATGTGCTTTTGCAATAATGAGAGAGAGAGAGAGAGAGAGAGAGAGAGAGAGAGAGAGAGAGAGAGACGTCGGTCAGGCCAGTGAAGGAGATTTAGGAATAATGATGCTGTGTTGTACTCGGCATGGACTAGGAGGAGGAGATTTGTTAAGCAAATGCAGCTAATCGCGGACGTGTAGCGACGAGCAGGGAAAAAATTGAAAAATTAAATTCAAATTGTTGTAACTTGTCACTTGACCAAGTGAGACGTGAATTGGTTGGATAATCATAATAAATACTGATAGTAGCCGATGATGATACAGTGGAATAAGTCAGAAATTTTAAGTCCCTCGATGTAGACAAAAACACTCGAGGAATTAATCAATCAATTGATTATAACGACTGATAAACCGACTGACTTTGGCCTTTTATGAGAGTGATTGTACGCTGTAAAGATGAAAATTTTACGAGCTCCCTTTGAGCAATAAGAGTATACTTGATTATAAACAGTAAAGAGAAGGAAAGAAACATCAAGATTGCTGAATAAATTAATAGAGTAATACGTGTCAATTTCAGAAATAACATGAGCTGCTCTAATGAACAAATATATATTTAATTGTTAAGTCATACATGTTCTTGAATTTCTCTCTGCCTTTTTATCTCTGTCTACTATAGATGTATTTAAGAAATTATCCAATAATGTTTCTCGCACGTACAATGATTAATTAATAATATTATCTACCTCTACCACCAAACATCGCCAAAACTTTGACAATTATATCATTGGTTTAATTACAAGACATCGTGTAAAATTAAAAGTTATTATTTAAAGCATATATATATATATGTATGTATTTATGTATGTATGCATGTATGTATGTATGTATGTATGTATATACTAATATAATGCTTCGATGGGTTTATCATAAATGAACAATATTTCATTTTATATCCATTTATAAAAGGATTTAAATGGCAGTAAATACTTTCTTTCATAACAATGCGATAATGCTTGTTATTCTCTTATATATTTATAAAGTTTTATAAAGACACAAACAGAACTAATTTATTGTTTTTTTTTTCCTTTTTTCCTTTTTTTTTCTGTATATATATAATTCTCTTTCCTATGATATTATTTAAAACATAGTCCACTATAAATGTACTTATAGGCAAATTAAATTTTACTTCACAATTGTCCTGTTTTAAATAAGTTTCTCATTTATAATATAGCAAATTATAACTTAATGTGTATGTTTGGTAATCGTTGTAGCACCACCACTCCTAACCGAGCCTATTCTCCATACTCATTATATTGAATTTTCTATGTAATATATTTGAATATGTCTTACTATAGCAATTATTTATTTAATAATACAGAGTAAAAACAAAAGGTGATTCGCTTTTGCTGAAAGCTCTTTATTCTATTAATAATTTATAATCGTTTACAAATTTATAGAAATTTCTAAAACACAATGTTACTAATATTTATCTAGATTTATGGACATAAGGGAAAAATGACTGGAGATAGTAAACATTGTAAAAACTAACTTTAAATCATATATAAAATCATTTGTAAAAATTAAAATAAAGTAGAATAAAATAAAAATATTAAAATAGTATTTTATTTGATAAAAAGAAAAAAAGATGAAAAACATGTATAAAATGTCTTTGATAAATGCTCTGTGAAATCAATGTAATAATAATTCTCATGGTATTGATAAATATATTTTTACAAATTATTTAATAGATTTGAAAATTATAATTGTATAAAATCATATAGAATCACTTAAATTTCTAGATTAATAAAACTACGTTTTGTTTATTTACTTTAATGAATTTAAACGATTAATGATGTTGAGATTAAAACAAAAAAAAATTTTATTTAGAATTAAATTTTCTTTTCGCCAATCTGAAATTACAACAGTTGGATGAATTATTCTTTCATCAATTTTTATATATTTAAAAATTTATCAACAACGTATTTACTAATAGTATATAAATATGACAATAATTATTTGTAATTACATTTATTAATCATTCAATAATGTTCACGATGTTTGGAATATTATAAAAGTCTCTAAGTTAAAAGCATTTTATTATAAACATATATATATATATTACATATAACGTCAATTTTTAATATTAAATTGAAAATATTATGTATAAATTTAGTTATACATTCATTTTCGGTTATTAAAACTTACTGCTAATAAATAATTTTTGTTCATTTATTAAATTAGTTTCAATTCAATACATTCAATTCAATAATTGCGATATTCATTAAAATTTCCGTCGATCCACTAAATTATTTTTATTTTCATATTCTTAAATTATTTATTTCGCATATTAAGTAAATAATTGATAATTCGTTTAATTAACATTTTCAATTACATTTATTTATTATTTTATAATGTATATATTGATACAAGTAATTTGTACTTTTTATTTGTATTACTTTACACCTAATTTCCCATCGACGGTAAATCGTCAAAAATAAAGAAAAGACACTCATTATTCTTATTATTAGCGTTCGAGTATAATACTTTCCAGCGATACGCTGCCACTACTTGCAGATTACTGTAAAAGTCAATTTGCGATTATCTAATAGCCAGAGGAAATTGCGAAAGAAGAGAAGGGAAACATGTGCGCATGCAGCTTTGAAGAAGAAATGCTACTTACTACACCAGTTTTATAGAAATTTTAAAGCAAAAGCAAGTTGAGAGTGATAGTTCTAACAAGCTAGATTATATTTTCTCTCATTTATTTATACAAGCACGCACTGCTTTCTGCATATATAATTTGATGAATTAAACATTAAAAATTTTCTCCATCTCCAAGTAGAAATTATATAATCTGATGCAAATAACTATATGGTCATCTGGAATTTCAATTTATTATATTACAATACTTACATATTAGTATATAGAATATTATTCCACAGTAAAGTTAGAATGATTGCAAAACTATATAAACTTATTTTTTAATATGAGTATTACCCACGATTATTATGTAAATATGATTGCATTTTATTAAACACCGAGTGAGGTATGTGTGCATATTCGAATATATAAAGGCAAATTAAATTCATTTAGCAACGGTAAGATAATAATATTTACTACATTACTGAACACTAATAACGAAGTAATTACCATTTATAAATTACTATTTTCTATTTCTATTAAAATAAAGCTTTCTTTCTATAAACTTTAATCGTTATTTCTTATTGTTATTTTCTTTCAAGGCATATATCTGAAAGATAATGCAAATATATCTTATATAATAGGCATATTGATATGTAAATTTTATAAGATTGTCGCTGAATTCTGTATTGAGCATGTACGGAGAAAAACCGATCGACTATGACAAATATTAAATCGTGACCAGCAATATTTCTAGGGACGATTCAATAATATTTAACTATTTACTTATAATAAAAATTGAAATAATCGCGCGTCCTTGATTCGCCTTGATATATTAATAAAGTTTCTTGGCATTGTAAATTTTAATAATACGGATTGTTGCGGTTTAATTAATGCATAATTAAAAATGTTTAAATTCATTGAAGAAATTATTGATATTTTCGCACCTTAGAATTATAATTTACTATAACGAGCTGTAACATGATTTTTATGTTTCTTCGAATTTTGTTATTAGTTACTATGTTATATATTAATAAGTATTATTGTTACATATGTTGTATAATACAACCTATTACATTACAAAAGTATACTCTTATAATTTGCCTTATTTATTTAACGTTTCTCAAGTGAGTATATTTTGTCAAGTGTTTTTTTTTTCTTCTTTCTTTCAGAATTTCATATATCCTTAAAAATATCTTAAAAAATTTATTCATAACTTTTATCTTATCAAAATTCATTACTGTAATTTTGATCGATGCTCATTTCACGACAAAGTTAATATTATAGTATTTACTTGCAGCTCTAATATATCAAATTTTTAATATTTACATCCAATGATGACGCAAGATATCGTAATTCTGGATTAATATATTAGTTACTATATTTTTTTAACATCTTTCAAGTGATTTGTAATTATGGCTTAATAAAATTATTCATATGAGTTTCACCATACTTTATAAACAAAACATATTGTTTTTTAACATAATTTAGCTGTAGATGAAAATGTGTTGTTATAGATAAAATATTAAAAAGATAATCATGACGTGATAAATAATTTTTATATTATGGTAAATAATCATAAGAAATAGTAATGATTAATTGATTGAAATAAATTTGTTTTATAAGATAATAATAAAATAAAATTTAGATTAAATGGTTTTTGTAAGCATATCTAAAACTTAGTCGACTCGTTAAAGTATATACTTTTTGAAAAATTTTTAAATATAAGAAATATTAAGAAACATACACTTTTTGTGGCTAATATATATATATATATATATATATATATATATATATATATATATATAATCAAATAAAGGATCATCCAGTAATAAAATAAAAAAAAAAAAAAAAACATTCTATTTTATTTTTTTGTTTTCGTCGTTTATTTGGATAGTTTATTTTCAACAAAATTTGTCACTATCGCTGTCATATTATACATACACAAGCTAAAACACTATGCTAATGATTTCGTAATTTAAAAATTATTCAACAATTTTGAATTTACCCACTACTCGCATAACATATAATATTTATTCAATTTATCTCTTCTTTTAGATGCAAACACACTGTTCAATCTTCTATCGTAGTATCTTTGTAGTAAATAATCAAGATATTTAAAACATCAGCTCTTGTTTGTATCTATTAACTTATTCATCAATACACCAGATCAGCCGCTTTACTATTATAAGAATTAATAAATTTACAGGTATTACAATGCCGTATATTGATCAAAATTAATATAGCCATAAACATATGATCCACAATATTTATAATCCTAAAAAAAAATTTACCTTTGAGAGGAACATCAGTTGTTGGCTTGCACCAAATGTTGACCGATTTCTCTTCTATAACTGACCTATAATAAAAAAAATCTGATCTGAATGTCTGAATCGCCAAGCTC